TCGGATACATGTTGACATGAAACAATTTGTGGCAATGATTTAAATGAAACTGAGGAGAAGCTGTTGTGATGGTTACTTCTCTTCGTATCTTATATATTACCTTCGAAGACCACTGAAGGGAATCATAAGTACAATCACTTTTCTGACCATGTCATATTTTCTATTCTCATCTCTGTTCCGATTCTTATGCACGTCTGGTAGAAAGGCATTTCGGAAAAAGCTACCAGTGATGCGGAGGAATGAACAAAGGAGGTCAAGGAGAAATTGGAAATTTTGAATGAGAAAAATCACAGTTTGGTAAAAGTGCTGAAACAGGTAAAATATATATATATATTTTTGTCGAGAGCGAAGATCCCGTTGCTGCTATGACATTTATACCATAATAATCATAGTAATGTGGTATTCCTCTGCTCCTTAAAGATTTTGAGTGCAGAAGAGCAGATAAAGAGACAAAATAGCACCCAAGGAGGTGAAGCCGATGACTTTTCAAATCATAATACAACTTCCCGTCACTTACCTCGCACGAGCAGTACTTCACCATCCTCCGATTCTCAACAGGGGTAGCCATGCTCTTCCATGGTAAAAAAAAAAAAAAAAAAATTACAGTTCTAAAGACTCCATTTTCCTGCATGCATGGATTTTTTTGTTCTCGCTTAAGGTACCGATATTATTCCTCTGTAAAAACTTTGTAGGAAGGTACTATGGTGCATTGGATCATGGTTAATGATGAAACATAGAAGTGTGTTGTAAATTGTAATAAATGTCAACTTTTTGACATCTTTGGTGAAACTGTTCAACGCATTCGTTTTAGTTTCGAGCTTTTGTTGGATTGGGAGTTCGAAATTCAAAGTAAGGATTTACCTAAAACATCAAATTCTCAAGTGAATGAGATGGATTTAGAGAAGATATATGATACATGAGATTATGAAACATAAGTGAGTACTTCATTTTATTACCCAACTCGAGTCATGAATTTTAGGCGTAAATCGGAGTCTACATTAATAGCTTTTGGGAGTCGGAAGAGTTTTTGTAACAATAATTGGTGATTTTCAGGTACCTCACTCTTACCGGGCAACTATGGGTGTTGCCGGTAGTCCTTCACGGTTTGCACCCGTCGGTCAAGGTCAAGGCATTGTAGCAGTTCCAGGAGTGATAATTGTCGGTGCCTCACTTCTTTAGATAACAAACAATCGCTTGAATTAAAGTTTTGTTACAAATCAAAGTTTTTGTAACAACAATCGCTGGAATTTCCAATGACAGTCCAACACAGCGGTGAATAATCAAAGAACAATTAAGAGTTGGCTCAATGAAATTAATTCAATTCACATTTGTACTGTTATGAACAATTAATAAGAGTTACAATATTTTCATTCCCCCTTGCAATTTTTACAAGTAGGGTCTGGCCACAACTCGCCGGCCAGGTGGCGCAAAGTGGGGCCTCGTTAAAACCCGATCGAAGTAAACCCGTGTGGGAAAAACCTCCGACCGGGAAAAAGAGTACCCCATAAATCAGAAACAAGAAGAAAATCATTCAAACAAGTCCCATATCAGTTAGCGGCAATAATCGGCATGTTGGGGACATCACTCGTCGCATAGTCTTCCTTCCAGAAAAATCGGCCATCGTCAGGTAGATTGTCCCACAGGGAGGGCTCGTCGGCCGGCAGCTCAAAGTCAAAGAAATCCATCAGCTCCTTTTCGAAACTTTCGTCCACGGGATTCGACTCGTTCGTAAATCGACCCTCGTCATCAATAGGCTTCTCGATACAATCCCTACTCTCCTCGAGCTCACGAACCCAAACCTCCTCGTCATCAATTGGCTTCTCGAGGGACTTGCCATCGTGATCCATAATACTCTTCTCCAACTCACGAACCCAATCCTCGTCACCAGTCTCTTGAGTGCTCGACTCTCTGAAAACAACCTCATCGACCGAAGGCAGCAAACAGTCATCATCATTATCCATAATACTCTTCTCCAACTCACGAACCCAATCCTCGTCAGCAGTCTCTTGAATGCTCGTTTCTCCGAAAACCACATCATCAACCGAAGGCGGCAAACAGTCATCATCATTATCCATAATACTCTTCTCCAACTCACGAACCCAATCCTCGTCAGCAGTCTCTTGAGTGCTCGATTCTCCGAAAACCACATCATCAACCGAAGGCGGCAAACAACTACTACTGCTCAATAGACGATCCAGATCATGGGCCCAATCCACCGTCTCCTTCGAGACCGACTCTCCAAAAACCACACAATCCGCAGGAGGCATAGACACAACACACGAAGAACACGAACAATTGGTCGAGCACTTCCCCTGCCATTTTCGCTTCAGAACACACAGAGCATAAGTCTTGGAATCTTCTTTAATGGCGTTGGACTTCAAGGCGGTGTCGGGAAGAACGTACTCCGTCATCAGCCACACATAGTCTTCTTCGCCGGAGTTGGTCTTGGCCGGCCGGTACCTGAAAGTTCTCCGGTAGCCCATGATCACGCCTTTGTCGTCACCGAAAATAGGGGTCGCCTGGCCTTTGTTCGACCAAGTCCCCCCTTTCCCCACGTTGCGCGAGAATCTCTTTCCAATTTTCTTGAGCCTCGTGAAGAAGTAGCGCTCGGTTTCGCGGCGGTCCGCGTCTCCAAAAATATCGCGGGGTTCCTTCGGGCCGTAAAAGTCGTCGGTGGCTATGAACTGCTCCTCGATCATTGGCCGACCGACCACCTTGTTCAGCAAATACGACAACCTTTCGGTTTCGGACGGACTAAACCTAAATCCCATGTTTTCTCAATTTGAGTTTTCTGAAATCGGCGCTTGAAATTAGATATAAATAGGTGAAATTTAAGATAACCACAAGATACTAAAATTATTTATTCGTGCCGTGGGTGTTTTTATTTGCATCTATACCTAAAAAAAAATTATTTATTTGGGTTGAGTTAAAAAAGATTAGTTACTAAATAAAAATATTCCCTACAATCACAATCAGCCAGTTACAAAAATCTTTCTTCATAATTACAAAAGATATAATATAATATACATAATTATAAATATATTATTTTTAGTGTGATAAAATGTGTTGAGATAACTATGACCATTTGACAAAATATTTATTAGTTAACTTAAAAACTTGAAATTTAAGAAGATAAATATAACTATTTGATGAAATATTTATTAGTAATCTTAAAACTTTAAATTTTGAGAAATGACGGTATATATGCGCCATGTTTTTAGAAACTAATCGATAAGATAATACAAAATTTTTATATGATTTCCAGAGTCATACGAACATGATATTGACTTAATTTTTTAATTTCGAATTTAAACAAATCGAAAGACAAATTATTAGGTAGTTAAGAAAAACGTTTCCAACAAACTATTTTTTAATTTCAAATTTAACAAATCAGAAAACAATTATTAGGTAGTTATGAAAAAAAGTTTCCAACAAACTTCAAATTAAACGGCACACAACCATCAGATCTGGAGTTGATCGCAGTTAGCGATCACCACTTTCTCGAGGTCCGATGGCTCCCCGACATTCTCCACCGCCTTCAATACGTCATACTCCTCCACCACATGCCCGAACACCACGTGCTTGTCATCAAGCCACTTCGTCCTTGTAGTGCAGATGAAGAATTATGTGTCGTTTGTACCCCTGGCCCGGCGTTCGCCATCGACAGCTCCCGGTGTGCTTTCTCAAGATGTTCTCATCGGCGAACTTGGCGTCGTAGATCGACTCGCCACTAGTGTAACACCCCACCTAAACTTACTAAAATCATGACAAATTTTTCGCGCTATACAAGGAAAGCTTTGTTTTAATTTTCGAAAGCTCATATTAATTTTTCGAAAATACTTTAACTTTAATATGCGGGATGCTACTCAACTTTAATCTTAAATCTTTAATCTTTAATATCATTAAGTACTAGGCATGCAACCGAGTATAATTCATTACTCTAAACATCTCAGGATTTAAGCATGCATAGACTAAAATTCTAGATACTGAAATACTGAGTGCGGAAGCAAATGCGAGCATGCATCAACAAAGCATAATAACACAAACATGTTAAAAGATATACATGACATGTTTACTAAAAATATCCTCGCTATGACCACCACCACGTCGGCTCACACTCTACGCTCGACACCGTCACCTGAAAAATGGTTAGTGGGGGGGCGTGAGCATAAATAATCCACGTGCTCCGCCGGAACCGGCACTGAGATATACAGCTAATATAATAACATATCATGACATCGACATATATGCAAGTACATAATGGGTCAGCAGAAAACAATATGATGATGAACATTTTACTAACATATTAAACATTCATCCAATAAATACTTAAATCAGCAAACTATTTATAGCTTCTACTTAACTGACTGCCTATAACCGCTGCTCCGCTGACTGTCTATAATTTCTGCTCGACTGGATAACTATAACTGATGCTCAATTGACTACTACAATAATTGCTTGATTGACTGACTATAATTGATGCTCAACTGACTAAATATACTGACTGCTCAACTGACTAATTATAATGATTGCTTGACTGACTGACTATAATTGCAACATCGCAAACTAAACATACATCTGATATGATAAACACATCACAACCTAGGCATACATCTAATATGATAAAACACATCACAACTAAGCATACATATAATATGATAGAACACATCACAAATGCGTATAAATAAGCATATTGCTATAACTGCTGCTCAACTGACCATCTCTAATAGCTGCTCAACTGACTGCTTAACAAGCGAGAAGGACACTAGGTCTTCACGCTCGCGATAAACAACTGTAGGACCTAATATGTAGGTCGTTGCCCATACTAGAACAAAACTAACTCTTATGCATTTCTATGGTTGGAGCTTAACTCACAACTGCACTAGAGTCCTTGATACTACTGGGGATTCGAAATACTTGGTTATGACGAAACCTATCTCTAGATCAAACTCCAGGCACTTCCAAGAGTATGAACTATCCCTCCAGAAGATCGTTCGTTTATGGAGCGCTGCAACCGCTCGAGCGGTGGATCTGGCTGAAAACCACTATTACCTTCGCGAAGAGGATCGTTCGGTCAATTACATCTATCCTTGCCCCAACTTCTGACAAAACTTCTACCCATAGGGAAGAATTATTCTAAGATCATATAAAATTAGACTTAACTCAAGGATGCTCTAGAGTTCTTAATTCACTTAACTCAAAGCTGCACTAGAATTCTTATCTCATCTAGTGTTCGATTCACCTAGCTGGAACGGATCTACTCGCTAGGGAATTGCCCCTATTCGGGCGGAATCTTACATACATACCTCAACCATGGTATTGCGATTATATATATATATAAAAATCAACTTGTGCTTTGGGTGAGAATTTACGTTTCTTTTTATAAACCCATTATTAGTAAAAACGAAAATTTTAGGCGGGATTTTACATACTATACACATGTAAATGTTTTGCCTTTTTATATATTCATAGATGTATATTTAGGTCGTGAATTTTCGTAAAGTAATAAATTTGTTATATTCTATGGTTATATGGCGGAAAATAAGTTGTTTCAATCAAATAAGTCATATATTATTTTAGTTAAAAAATATAAACCACCATAAAATATAAAAGAAGTTTGGATTTATTTTATAAATAACGTAATTTATTATTTTTAAGAAAAACAAATCAATATATTCACACACAAAATTTATAAATATGAATAATTTATGAAGGATTGGAGTTTATCAATGTTTAGTATAACATCCATTATTCTCGAAACAATTTTTTTATTTGCAATATTAATTTGAATAGAAAAACAATCCATAATTGTTGGGATATCTCATTTCCATATCTCAATTTTTTTTGGCATAAGAATTTCTAAATTTGTTATCAATAAAAATGGGATGGTAGTGACGAAATGAACTAAAATTTGGCATAAGAATTTCCAAATTTGTTACCTTAAGAATATCCTTTTTTTTTTGGGATATCTCATTAAATTTGATTCCTAGAGAAAATAAGTTTTTTCAATTAAATAAGTCATATATTATTTCAATTAAAGACTATAAACCACAAAAAAAAAAATAGAAAAGAAGTTAGGATTTATGTCTGAAAATTTTAGTATTATTTTTAAGAAAAGCAAATCAATATATTTACACACAAAATTAAAAAATATAAATAATTTATGGAGGATTGGATTTTATCAACATTTAGTATAACATCCATTATTCTCGAAACAATTTTTTGTTTGTTTTGCACCATTAATTTGAATGGAAAAAAATTCCGTAATTGTAAGGATATCTCAATTCAAAATCTCAGTTTTTGGCATAAAAATCTTCAAAATTGTTACAAAAAAAAAAAAGGATTCGTATTTATGAAATTAAATAAATTTTGGCATAAAAATCTCAAAATTTGTTGCCTTAAGAATCTTCAATTATTTTGGGATCTCTCATTAAACTTGATTCCTAATGAAAATAAGTCATTTCAATCAAATATGTCATATATTATTTCAACTAAAGAATATAAACCACGAACGGTCATAAAATAATGTAATTTATTATTATTTAAGAAAATCTATAAATATATTTACAAAAAAGTACAAAAATATAAATAATTAACGGATGATTGAAGTTTATCTATATTTAATACAACATCAATTATTCTCGAAATAATTTTTTGTTTTATTTGCAACATTAATGTAATTGTTGGGATATCTCAATTCAAAATCTCCATTTTTCGAAATAAAAATCTCTAAATTTGTTACCAATAGAAATGGGGTTCGTATTTATGAAATGAATTATAATTTTGGCATAAGAATCTCCAAATTTGTTACCTTAAGAATCTCCAATTTTTTTGGGATATCTCACTTAAATTTGTTTTCTAAACAAAATAAGTAGTTTCAATTAAATAAGTCATATATTATTTCAATGAAAGAATATAAACCATCAAAAAATAGAAAAGAAGTTAAGATTTAGGTCCTAAAATAATGTAATTTATTATTATTGAAGAAAAACTTGTTCGCCTATAATTTTAAAGCTCGACCGCAAGTGTACGGCTTCGCTCGTAGTAAGTGGCAAGCAAGGTCGTTTCCCAAGAGATCAATTAATTATTTAATCAAGTACAAGAGTATGATAGTGTCAATTTTATTTAGACAATCGTGTATGAGATGGATTAACTAAACTAAGAAAATAAATCAAAGCAAATAAAGCAAGAATAAGAAAACAACTCGAAAAACACTTAAGAAGAATATATGAGAATGGTAGATTCTAAGACTATGGGTTCAATTAACAGTTGGGTTCCTTCAAATATATCACAACTAAATATTTTCTTTATCTACCCTATAAGATAATCACAAAATTAGCCTATCGTCCCTCTCGAGATCGATAAACTGTAGATTAAATCACATATATTAGCGTCTCCACTCAACACATGCAATTCAACTCCAAAAAGATTAAAAGATCCAAAATCCTCACAACTATCTACTAATCTCTCGATTCAAACAAATAAATTGTGTCAAATATTAAAGATCTAATATTGAACTCATCTCTCGAATTATGAACAATATCATCAAACATTTAAAAGCAGTGGCCAGTTGCAATTCATGAAATAAGAACAAAATATTTAAATAGGGTTCAAAAGAAATCAATCAACTATGATAAATCATCCGAAAATCCCAAGCTATTAATCTACTACCATGTCTTAGAATCAAAGAAATTTAGCTACTCGTGTTTGAATTCAAATACATAGACATATTAGAAATCATCATGAGAAAATAAGCTCAAAAGAGAGAAAG